AAAAAGCAAGCACTTAATCCGGTATTATGAGTGAGCAATCATGATAAAATCTACCAATAAGAAAAGACACAGGCCAAGCCAAAGCTTATTTCTATTGCCACAGACTTATAATGGCAGTGGATTTTATTGTTAAATGGAAGCGGAGAGAGTGAAAAACGGCAATGCGTACAATTTGTCTTAAGTCGGTTGTCATGGACACTTAAAATTCATTATTACAGCTAAGTTTGAGTTTGATAGCAACAGGCATTAAACGTTTGGTATATAGCTGGGGCTTCCTGGCTGGCTGATTGAATGCAATCAGGCGTAAGATTTATATTTCAATAAAAGTATAAGTCTTCTACTTAAGACTCGTTCGCTCACACTCTTGGCGGTTTTTAAGAGTATTACCTAATTGTACAAAAATCCTAGCACAAAATTTTTTAACATAACCCAGTCGCCAATTTGTGTCGCAACTCATTTTTGCAGCACTTAGCCGTGAGCGGAACTGCATGACAAGCGTGTGTGGTACGTGTGAGGAATTTCATCTTTGTCAATTGCTCAAAAAACACATTCACACGTAGTGTGCTCAAGTCACTTATCCTTTTCAAGCTCGAAGTGTATAAAAATCACAACGTTGATTCTTTTCTTCTTGCACTTTCTGTCCCTTGCCGTCTGATTTTCTTTGTTAACCTCAACTGTATGATTTCACATACCACAGTCAATGCTAAAGGCAACAACTCTACAAGCAATATGCTTTTGACTTGTTTGGGCAATTTTTCACCCCACACCCGCCACTACTTAATGGCAGGGGTAAATGCGATTATGACTGCCAGATTTAGTTGTCATACAAAAGCACTTAACTTTGAAATTGTCTTGAAGGGTGGTGAGCAGCGTGCCTTGTTATACAAATGTACATGAGTATGTGTGTATGTATTGTGCATAGAAAAGCTTGGCATGACAAAATATAAAATGATGGAAACTTTAATCCCGTATTTCGGTACCAATTATACTCGGTCACCAAACAATGTAAGGGTGATGTAGATCTTGGACAGTAATAACACTGTAGGAACGCTAAAATTACACAAAAAACTCGGAAACACGTGAACTTAATTTTGAGTCGTAAATTACGAATCTGTTTACCGTTATTTTCCAAAGATATTTTCTTTTTAAATTTGCATTGTGAATGAAAAAAATTCAAATTTTAACAGGAAAAAAATTAAAAATAACATACTCATTTATGGCATACGAGTAACATCCGCTCCTGTTCATATTTCATACAAAAAAATATTGCGCATTTTCATTTGACCCTCGGGCTCATATGTATACCCGTACATAAGCTGTATTTTTTTGTAAGCGAGCGACAAAAGAAAGCTCAACTCGGGTAAAATTTCCTTTTGGCTACTTAAGCAACCCTGCTGGTAGCTGGCAAGAAACATGTGATTAGTTTAACGGGATTTAGACACAAAAAACAATAGAAATTCGTTATTATGCGAGGTATTTGCGTAATATATATACTTATTTAAAATATAAATGATGTATATACGAAAAAAAAATTCCCTCTCCAATTTCCCAGTAACAATTCACAATAGAGCAGTTTTAGTTAGTTGCGTATATAACGTATACGCCCCGTAGCACCATACGCAGTCATCTAACACGTTAATCGCGCGCCTTGAAACTTCACAGATGTGTTGTATTTGATGCCAACGTCCATTGTCTATAATATGAATATTCTATTTGAAAACTTCCCAAAGTTATTCAATTATTCAAAGAAGCAATTACGATTTTTTCGAATGGCGATGAAAAAATTAGTAATTTCGGTTCTTTTTCGCCTAAATAAACGTTTTGAGGCTAAAATGGTTCAAATACTTGATTTATTTTTTATTTTACTTGTTTCTGAAACTACAGTCATTGAAATAAACGCAAAAAGTAAGCTTTACCTTTTTTTCTGCCGAGAAATGGGCAGAATGTAAAATAAAAAGCAATTTCATAAGTCAGTCATTTTTAGGATTCCCCGTCTATCTGCTGCAGAAATGGCTCGCTGTCGCTATTTGAGTCGAAAGGAGAAAATAAATCCCTTCTTTTGCAAAAAAAAAATATTTTATTCGAATAGCCACTGGCTTAATAAAATTACCTCGCATTAACTACAATGCAGGCTTCTTAGAGCGACTCTCACTCAGGCCCTCGTTTCTTGAACATTCTCAATCCCGATTTGAACACCGTGTTTAATTCTCACATGCACTAGCGAGCAATTGTCGCTACGCAACAGATTGTGTGAATGGACAAGCAGCAGCAACTGGTGGTGGCAGTGTGGGTAATGTTGCTAGTGATATTGAGGCGATGCATTCAAACAGAACAGAGCAATTTTCTAGAGGAAGTGCGCTATAAGAGCCACATTTAATGGCATCACTTCACTGGTGAAAGTGTTGAGCATGACAAATGGGCTATATTGTGGTTCTCTTTCCACGCACCTTTGCTTCCGTGCGCCACTCTGTACACAACTTTTTCAAACATACAAAGACAAAAAAAAAACAAAGAAATATTTAAAAGTTAGGCAGAAGTTGTTGCTTATGCTATTACCACAATTATTATTGCTCTTAGAATGTCGCATTGAGTGGCAGTCGGGTGTTAAGTGGTATAAATCACAGCAATAAGCTAGCTCTCAGTCAGGCGAATACGTATGTATGTACGTGTTTGTATATACATACATATGTATATATTATATTGTGTAGACATTGGAAACCTTAGGTCAAACGTAATCGACCCGCGCATTCATTTGGTTTCTGACAGATTATGTGCGTTAATTTGTGAAGTGTGATAGTTTTTTAATTATGAGGCAATAGTAATGGATTATACGATATCGCGCCTTATAATGATTTATTTAATTATTAATCGAAAATGAATATGTTATTTGCTAGAGCACTTACCACCGCCATTTTTGTAACACAAATATGGAAATCGCCAAACGTTTGCTAAATCGACTGCAAATCCAATAACCGATAACAGAAAATCGACTTTGCCGCTCCATGTTTCCCGCTGATCGCCACTATCTGCCTCGTCACGTGGTGTTGGTGTCTTAGCTATTTGTCCGGTCGGTGACATCGCCAAGGCGATGTCCTCTTCTTCGTCGACACCGCACTCTAAATCTGGAAGATAAATAACAAAAAAAAATACACATTATTAAAATAAATGCACATGTACATTTATTATACAGATATTTCAAATAAAAAAGTGCTACAATAACAATAATTTGTTTTCAATGCGAAATATATCCTAATTTGATTTTTAATTTCGGTCTTATTTGTTTTGCTATTGAGCAAGCAATTTTAATTAAAATTACAAGTTGTTAGGTTTTCCGTTGAAATCATTTATTCAATACAAACTATTTTTTACTTTTCCAGGATTTTTACACTAATTTCTACTTAACTCGTCAACATGAGATAGAATCTATCAGATGAATAGGATTTTCAATATTACGCGCTTTTTTCTGAAAAATCACTTCCAATTTTAGTTTTTGTTTTAATTCGCAGTTTTGCCATTCTTCGACACTGGACTGGAAATCAGTATCAAATAATCTATAAGATGTGGCCGATTCTATTTTCAAGCTCAAATTCGTTCAAATTTTCTTAAACCGTTTTACATATGTATCTCTTAATTTAAACGACTAAGCCTGTTGTTGTTTTTAGTAGGGGGCACAAAATACTTTCTCAAAAAAAAAAAAATATTACTTAGAAGTAATTTCCGACGGCGAGCTGCTCTGGAATAGCAACAGATTTCTATTTTTTTGAAAACATCTCCCTCATTTTTAAAGTTATATAGTTATTATTCTAAAATTTTGTAGAATTACTATTTCTGAAAATCATCGAAATTAGTTCGGTTATGATAATAATAATAAAAAAAACAGTCGCGTGCAAATTTTTAGTATAATAACCTTAAAACTGAGAAATTTATTTACAAAAAAAAACAAATTTATGAAAATTTTCAGGTACCGTGCTTAAGTGCTATTTTTGTCGCACCCTTTTTAAATTCTTTTATAGTGGTAAAAACGAAAAATCAAAAACAGCATTATACGATCCAAATAATAATGGCTGTTTTTTTATTTTTTTTTTTTACCCGTTTTGTTTTCTTTTGAGACCGGGTCGCTTGATATATTTCACCTACTCCGCCCAGGTTATTCGATAATCAACATGAAAAAAAAGTTAAAAAAAAGTAAAAATAATATGAAAAACGGCGTAATTGTTTGTGAATGACGACCTTAACTTTTATTGTTTTATTCTATTTTTGCCTGAGAAATGTTATCAGTATGAGCGGGGCTTTCTATTATAATATTGTCCCTTCGAATTTTCCAGAATGTCATTTTTCTCCATTTTTTCTGTGACTCTCACATTAGTTGTTTTGCATGCGTAAGTGCAATGCAGTTAAGAAGCGCAAGAAGTTATTGATCGAATGATAAAAGAAGTAAATTAATAAAAGCATATATTTTGTGTGCTTTTAAGTGAATTTATCATTGCGCCATGGTAAGTAAGGCTAAATATTTCCGGAATGCAAAAAACTCTAAAAATAAGATAATTACCAATGTCTGTTTATTGTTTCAAGGGTTTAAATGATTTCTTTGTTTGTTATATTTCCGTGAAAACAAAAAAAAAATATATATATTTCCAGAATGTCACTTTTAGGTGAAAAAAGATTTTCAATTTAAATAGCATATTTCTCCTTAAAGTTTCAAATAGCATATATGTATGGGAAATTGTTGCCGAAGAAAGATTAAACAACAAGCCTGCCTCCCAAGAAAGCCCTTCCGTTAATGTCATGAAAAAGAAGAGATGGAAAAAACTTCAACATTAGCTAATCTGATAAATAAAGTTTAAAGTGATATGCAAATGTTTAAAAAGCATGCATTTTGTGTTAAAAAAAAAGCTTGTAATCAGTACAATGCTTACCGGTTAGTATACTTTTTTCTAACAGTTTCTAAACTTATTTATTCCTTTAGCTTACTTTTAAAAAAGTGACATTATAGAAAATAGTTTGCAAAATTGAAAAAATAAGAAAAAATAATATTTTATGAAGAGCCAGAAAGCAGTTTCGTATTCTGCAAAAATCTTGACTTCAGTAAAAGATTTCAGAAATACATTTATCAATTTAAAAAAAAAAATATATATCTGTCATGTACACTTTGTTTGAAAACGGTGCATATACATGAAAAAGTTAATATCGAGCCCTAACCTTCAAAATAACGTTTGCGAAATTTTTTTCAAAAGTTACTTTTTGATGCAGAAATATTCCTAGGGCATCTAGATTCATTTCTTCTTTATACAAAACCTCCATTTTTGACCAAAAACACGTTTTTGTCCAAAAGTGTAACAGCACGTGGGATTTGCTCATATATGTATATGTATATGTAGTTAATCTTTAAAACTACTTTCCAACGATTTAATCTCAAAGTTACTACGCATGGCACAAGTTGAACAACACGCTTCAGAACTTTGAAATTGCCGGTTAAATCTTATGTGAGTAGGGCAAAATCTTCGTATTTGTTGTAATGAATGACTTAATTGCTTAATTGATGCAAGCCTGAGCACAATTTCTGCACCGTGATGCCATTCATCTACATACTAATGTGTAGGCAAATGTGACAAAAGCGCAAATAAAATTCATAAACTACATAAGCGTAGGTTGAGTTTCTCTGTCACTTTTCCACAAAACTGAATAAACAAGAAGAAGATTTTTTTTACGTGACCTATACTATGAGTCTGCTAAAATGTTCAGTCAGGCTGTAAAAACTGTAAGTGGCATACGATTTTCGTCATAAAAAATTTAAATCTTATTTTGACTTGTCGCAAGCTAAGTTTAAAATAGCATTAATAGAATTAATGCTTATAAATATTTGTGGACACCTAAATACATATATGTATGTATTTGTGAATGTGCATACATATGTACGTTAAATGTTCTACTAGCAGTTGGCCTATGGAAAAAGATTGAGGTAACCAGTCTCGCCGCCGCATTATCACACCTTTTCTTATTCAAAACAGACATATTTATGTAAATGTATATATGTATTTATGTATATACATATGTATATATATGTGCATATGTATGTATGTTCATGCACAATGGGCTTACTCCAATGACATTTTACACTACGGCCGCAGCTACTTAAGTTGACCAAACCATTGAACAGTTCGAGTACCACCCTAGCCTGGCTACTGTTAAACCGGATCGAATTTTTAATACTTTTCTTTGAACAGAGCGGTATGCAAATGACATGAATGACTTTACAATTTTTTTATTTTTTTTGTTCATATTTTCAGCTGCATATGCACACATACTTATGTACAGAACCAAAAATTTGTATAGGTGTTTGTAGAGTATGTGTGATTGCTTATCTATATTTTTTGGTGCGCATACATATTTGTTATGAATGGATATATACCACATGCGAAGGTATATAAGTATGTATATATATATGTACTATCATCGGAACATGAATAGAAGGTTACTATTTATGCCTCCAAGCCAGTATGGTTATAAACGAGGAATTTAAAAAAAACAAAGAATCTTCAAAGCGTCAGCTCCAAGTTGGAGTTTGGGTCACTACCAGCGCTGATTATGTAAAAGATAAAAAACTTTCCAAATAAACATAGAATTGTGTAATGATTTTTTACTTAATGCATTTTTTAGTTTTATTCCAAGGGTTAGAGTTAAAAAAGATTAAAAAAAGATTTGTTAAAAAGTCAATAACTCTTTAACATAAAATTCGTCAGGTGCACATTTTGAGAAAAATCCCAGGGTTCAAGATTTCTTGACGGGGATCATCATTAAGTGGATAGATGCACTTTGTTATAATTTTTACGTCATAATTAAAAATTTCCATAAGTTGAATCCATGTTGATGCTGATGGTACGATGCCTCTGAATGTGACATTTTTACTTAAAAAAAAATTTCCTCCAAAGTGATTTTTTTAGAAATTTTGCTTAGTATTCTATACACAATTTTGTTCTTTTCGCCGCCTATAGCCAAGAGATAATTAAATTTAATACCTGAATTAACACTTGCGCTTGAATATGCAACCATCGACATTGTTCACACTTAGCTAACTTTCACTTAGCTCTGGGATAATTAAGTGTAAGTGCTTGTACACTCAAAATGCTTAAAAGATTTGCTGACGTTTTTTCGACCTTTAGAATTTCACACACTATTACTTAATTATGCATAAAAATAAAATTATTTTCGAATTAACGACCATTTTTGTTTCATACAACGCACCGCAACATTTGACGTTCGTTTCGCTGCTCTACCGAATTCCAACTGATGTTGCAAAGCACAGCAGCACAGCTGAATCACAGTTACGGAGGCACGCAACTCTCACACTTCCCACACTTTTAAGTGTGCCTACCCTAATTAAGCTGCTAAAGCTAATTGTAAGCTATTTAACTGAGTCTAATCGACATTTTGCGGACACTTAAAACTTGCTTGGACCTGTTTATGTTTGTTTATGCATAAGTGCGTTTTTTTTTTTTTAATTTCCATATTTAGAAAGGTATTAAATGAGAAATCGATCAATTTTTATAATACATACACATATACATATATATCATATAGTAAATATGAAAAAAAAGTATCAGCTTAAATGCAACTTCATAGCAATACTAGAATATTTGTATAATGCAAATTTCCTCGCCGTAGGTACACTCTTTATTGGCATTTTTACATGCCGCCGGCATTCGAATTTATTGCAAATTGGTTTCATTTACATTTGCATTCAGAAAGATAACAAATTCGCTCTCACACCCAAGTGCCTGCAGTTGGTTATTACTAGCTTTAATTTTTATTTTATTCAAAATACTTAGTTGAGTGCACACACGTGCCATACATACAAGCTTACAGCTTCATTAAGTTTGGGATACTTATTTATATGTCAAGCACTTACATATGTATGTATGCATGTATTAAGTAAGTGCTGGATTATGAGATAACATTCGAATAAATTTGAACCAAAAATTAAATATAAATCAATATCTTATATTTTACAATGATTGCTTACTTTGTAGAGCACTCTTAAGGAAGAAAATAGGGGTGTAAGTTAAGGTGAATTTTAATTTCAATTATTCATAGCACAACCGGGCGGAATTATATATATAAGAGGGAGGCGTGGTCTTTATATGATTTATGCTAATATATAACTTTTAGTCTGACTGTATTTAGTTGTCACCGAATCTGGAAAAATTTTATTATGGTAAGAGTAAAAAAATTAACCAAAATTTCGTTAAAATATGGTTCGAGTTATCGCATTTATAGATGGGACGTGATGGGACTAACAAATCGGGAGCAAGTAAGCAAGTCGAGTAAGTTAATGAAGCTATTTTTGTTCTACTCGAACTCAGTACGTTTAATAACGTTTAATTTTTAAGTCTTAGCTATATGGGCATATTTACGGAACCGTGCGGTTTTGTGTTACTCGCTTTTAAATTAATTTAATTAATGTAATTTTACTTTTTATAAAAAATCTGGGTCATTTTGATAACAAATTTTAAAAGTTGTTGTTACTTAAGTACCTATTTAAATAATTTTTATAATTTAAGTCATTGTGTTTGCAAATTTGAGGGTGTTACTTTGAGTATCTTGTGTACTTTTTTTGAGTATAACTCCGAAGACATTAAAAAATCATGGCAAATAGAAAATGCATTACACGTTGAGAAAAATATGTTCCCCTCCTACGAATCAAACTGTAATGATTTAAAATATGTTAAATACTCGTAAATATAAAAATTAATTAAAGCGGCAAAGGCTTCAAATTTCAATTTTTAAATGGCACACTTACAGACTAAAACATAAAGTTTGAAATAATGCGTGATCGGTAGACAATATAGCTAGTTAAGTGCATAAAACTAGTTTTATACATACTTTTGTGTGTATGTGAAGGGCTATAAAATCTCTGGGCAGTGCAGTTAAAGAATTTTTACTCAAAATATAAAAATTGTTTTATTTACTCAAAAATTATATTTGCAACGGATATGAAGCGAAAAATAATTTTTGAGATCGGACAAAATCTGGAAATATCGCCAACTTGTCAGTTTTTAGAAAATTGCCGGTTTTAATTATAACTCTTTAAGCATTTAAGGAAGATAAATCAGACAAGAATGTTTGTTCCCGCAATGGATTTTAAACAATTTGATGTAAAATTTATTTTCGTGCGTTCAAATTAACGGTATTTTTCATTTTTAGCATTTTTGTATTAGCCAATATCTTATTTGTCAGCTAAAAAACACAGAAATTTTTCAGGAACTCCTTTGAGTTTAACTTTATTTTCACGTAGTATTTTCAAACCGCTTTAAAAGAAGGAGCGGATTGTATGCATTCAGATAAACTTTGATAAAATTATTTAAATTTTAATCTATTTACTTGTTGTTGAGTATACATATGTACATACGTATTCTATCTATATTGATTTATTTATATACAAATTTACCTTTATTTTCGAGTAGCAAATTTTAACTATTCTGGGCGCATTTTCAGATGGTTGCGGTGGTGTACATCACACATCAAATATGTATGTATGTACATAAATTGTATCAAACAAATTAAAAACACTAACAAAAATTCATAGAATATTTTTTATGGAATAAAAAATTCTCAAAATACACCACATTTGGAAAGGATATTACTTTTAAAGAAAAACATTAAATAAACCAAGCAAACTAATGTAATTTCAAGATTTATTTGTTAAATGTTTGAGAATAGTTTCTAAACTCAATACATTGCTTAAAGATTTTCGTTGAATAAATATTTATGTATGTATGTATGTCTGTTCTCTAAGCACTTGACACTTTTATGCTTTTCAAAAATGCTCTCCAACTTAAACACTTTTCACCTGTTTTCCACCAAGAGTGGTCTTAAACCGACCGTGACATTTGAACGAATGCAGATATGGTCATTGGCTCGCGTCCTTTTATAGCCGAAACTGGCAACGACTGGCAAGGTTGAATTGGGGCGACAAGTGGTTGCAATGATGCTCAACACTTAACACATTTGCTGCATGCAACACAATGTAAAATGCTCGAGCATAGATGAGTATACATGTATGTATGTATGTATTGTACATATGTACAATGCACAATGTATGTACAGAAAAGTATGTTTGTACCAATCCGAGAGCGACTTCATGCCCCACAACTCGAAATACATATATGCTATTACATGTGTATGTATGTACGTATGTATGTACAAATAGACATTCATACTCAACTTCGTGCAGCTGAACCGAAAAGCAGCTTCCAAGAGAAATTACAAGTGTGTGTGTAACATAGAAGGATAACGATGCGCAGCCGCAACACTTTTTTGAGTTTGTTGACGTACCTACATATTTATGTATGTACATTAAAAATTCGTTTGTATATGTATGTATATATGTAAAATAAAATTAACGCAACGATCCTCCTCAGGCGATGCTGAAAGCTCATTAAAGGAAACGGAAGCAAGTTTCCGACGGGACTCAAAAATTTCGAATTGTATATATGTATGTATTTATGTTCATATACATACTTATTTACATATGGGCACATGAAGACACAATTCCGAAGTGGGCTTTTTAGAAAAATAGAAGTTTTTTATGTGTAGGAGAGTTTGGGAAATGCCTCATCAAAGCCCTCGAAACAGTAATTATGCGTCCAAGTACGAAAACCATAACAAGATTGTGTTCCATGTTTCTCATTAACTATTTTCACCCATCTTAAACTTACAAAGAATATATAAATCGCGTCGTCCGAGCTGAAGTGACCATATAAATATGTATGTATTCAGGACCTTTCGTTTTGTTCAATTATGATTAGGTACTTTTTCAAAGTACCTATGATCAAATAAAAACTTATCCAGCCTTCCAAATTTGGTATAAGCTAAGTAGTACACCTGCCTTCTCTTCGGGCAGTGCCCCTCCTTTCTCGACCCCAAAGACTCTTCCTTTCTCAAGTCATCATGTGGACCAATTGGACTAAAAAGCAGTATATCGATTTGTTTACATCAGAATAGGTATTTAAGCGTCAGTCAGCGAGTCATTATATTATCGACAACGGCATATATTTAGGAAACTGATGTGTCGACAAATTTTGTCTTCAAAATTTGATATATTGAAACCTTGCCTTAAGGCAGTTCTGAGAGCTTAGTCGAGCTTAGATTTGCTTCTGTACAAAGCAGATGCACGTACATACGAAACAGAAACGTTTTTATTTTCATCTGACACAGATATACAAACATCTGGGTTTGGTTTATTTCCTGTTCAAAGAACATATTTTTAAATAGTTAAATAAGGACTGTGAATTTGACAGATAGATGCAATTACATATCGTCGCTTTGCGTGCAATACCGCGTATAGGAAAAAAATCATTTTCGGTACCCTATCTCAGTGCTGGCCTAGTTCTTACTATACTTACTACTATTTATTGGTCAATATTTTTAGTAGAAGCTCATATTTAATAAGTTCAGTTAGAAAACCATTCAAAAGTTTAGAAGCAAATAAGTTTATTGGCACTTTTGTGATATTTTTGGACCATAATATACGCGGTATTGCACGCCAAGCGACGATATGTATCTAAAACATCACATTTACAGATGCAAATACATATCGTGTAAGAACACTTTAAGTAACTTTCTCTTACACTTGTTGGCCTTCGTATATTAGCCATTATTCTGTTGAATAATGAAACAATTTCGCGGCGTCCTCGATTTCTTCTACCGCCACTTCTCTGCTGCTCAGTCAGTTTTCTTAGTAGTAACTGTGAGGTTGTGTGCATTTAGCCAGGTTTACGTTCCAATCATTGTTTTTCTCCATGCTCTATAGGCTTCTTCTGTGCTTTGCTCAGTAATTACGGTGGCTATGATGTCTGCTAACCAACGAGATATACATAGGTTATCTGGTATCCTATATTTAGTAAGCCATCGTAGCTTGCTTTCCAAAGATAAACGCATACGTCCCTAGCATTCAATTTCTTTCACAGAACTGCCTGTAAGACAGATATTTTTGGACCTAGTTTCTCAAACCTAGGGGTCGTCTTTTTACAGTTTTTTGTGACACCTACATTCGAAATAATCGAATAATATTTAGCGAGCTTTATTTTACTGACATTAGGCTGGTATGTTCGGCGTCAAAATAAATTAAAATAAAATTAGATTCCGAGATGTAAGGCGGGTTTTTTTAAGCATATTTTTATAATTTTATGCACTTTCGATTTCTAACCTAACGGAAAACATCGCTTACATGAATATGTATTTTATTAATTTAATTATTAGCCTAAATTTCAATATCAAAAATATGCATGTATTATAAACACAATTTTCATAACATTAATTGACACCTGCGCGAAAAAATAC